CTTAAGAATCTATAAAACATTCATTCGCCCACTTATAGAATATGGTTGTCAAATAACCTACAATATGTCTAAAAATAACCTCAAGAAACTCCAAATTCAACAAAACAGAGCCATTAGATTAGCACTACGATTACCCACGTTCACCCCCGAAAAATTCATTCATAAACTAAGTAACCTCCTCACACTCAAAGAAAGATTAACAAAATTATCCGATAAATACTACACCAAGGCAATCACAAGAAACAGTTTAACAGCATCACCACATAAAATATCAAGCACGCCCATGAAACACATTTCCCCCCCTATAATCCACACTGCCTACATAACCCAACACTATAAACGACTCGCACGAAAAGGTCGCCATTTATAACATGTTATAATTCTGCTTTTCTTTTCAGCCTGGGCACAGGTCAGATAGAATATTCGGCGTCTGACCTGTGAAAGTGGGTTTTCTCCGGGCACTCTGGTTTTCCCCCACATCCAAATTATCTCTGGCTTAGACCAGAGAGCCCAACCCTGAAAAGGGACCATTCAAATCTCATTTCTTTAAATGAATTATAAAGTTAAAAACTAAAATATAACTTCAAACCTATGCTATAGACAAAATTTTCTATGCGTAAGTCCTAATTTCGAATAATTTGAAACATAAACATGTATTTTAAATAACAAAATGGAAACTTGTTGCTTGGTGACAGTATTCGTCCTTCTCTTTGCCCCGACAACCGATGCCGAATTTCACAAAGCTGCTTCGGTCCTTTCCGTCCGTCTCCACAGCTTCCCGACTCCAACCACCAATGACTCTATGCGACACTGAAGATTAAATCAAGAACCACAAAGTAAAACAGTACAGGCGCGGGGTTGAAGGAGAACAAATGTTCCCGAGCACCCCAGTTGGGAGAACTTCGTTCTCTCTTCCTTCAAACTAAATTACTGCTACACATAGTTTTTTTTTTAATGCCAAAGTTTTGGACAGAAAAGACTGATCTGGGTGGGAGATGACATAGGACCTAGGATATAATATGAGAGACATAGAGAGAGAGCAAATCCGAACTTTGACATCCACATGCCAAGATGAGGAGGAAAAAGGAGAGATGATATAAGGAACAGGACGACATGGGCTGCAAGAGAGAAAGTGTCAGGGCATGGAGGACAACATTGATGTTCCAGTCAGTTCTAGAGAACACAGCCAGCTAAACACCTATTAGTCGAGAGACCACTCTGTGGGGAGAATCTTGTCAGGGCATAATAAATGATCTGCAACTAGATTTAGGGCACCAAGTATATGACACACCATCAACTGAATATGATGGCTGTGGACCCAAAACAGGAGGTCCAATATGTGGAAAAAAAGAGACCTCAACTGAGTGCCCCTTACCGAGTGATGTACGAAACAACTGTTAAATTGTCGGAATGGATCATAACCAACCAGTTCCAGAGAAATGGAAGGAATTGACCCAAAGCCTGATGAACAGTGAGCAGTTCTAAGAGATTGATATGCACAGATGGCTCTGCAACAGACCAGCATCCCAAAACTTCCTGCATGTCCAGATACACACCATGACTTAAAAGAAAAGTATCCATGAAGAGGTGCACTTCCCAATGAGGAAGAGGAAGAGAAACATCCACTGTGGTGTTGTCTCTGTTCAATTACCAGACGAAGTCCACATGAATAGGGGTATCCAAGGGATCCCGAAGGAGGTTCCACTGATCTTGTAAAGCCCACTGAAGAAGTTGCATGTAAGCTTGACCGAGGAGAATGAGTGCCTCCAAAGAAGCCCACTTCCCCAAAAAAGATAGAACTTCTCGTGTGGTTGAAGAAGGAGAGGAAGAACCAGTGTTAATAAGAAGCTCCAAAGGGGGAGAAGGTTGGGCCCAGGTGAAATGAAAGTTGAAAACTACCCTAGAGACGAACTTCTCCACCTTGACTAGCTAGCCTACCTGTGTAGCTTCTCAACAAAGAAACTGAGTATGAAAATAAGAGGTGGCATGCAAATCAGATAGAAGCAGCCAGTTGTCCATGTAATGATGGAAACAAAGGCCCCTGGAATAGAGAAAAATGGTAAAGGCCTTGACAACATGACAAAAAATGCAGGGAGCCAAAGCCCACATATATGGAAGAGCCCAGAACTGGAAGACATGATCCTCATGGACAAAACAAAGAAAATGTTGGGATGTTGGAGAAATGAAAATGTGGAGGTAAGCATCCAAGATATCTACCTTCATCATCCAAAGACCAGGAGTGAAAGCCCAACAAAGAGATAGGTGTGATTCCATGGTGAATCAAGGAAGATCTAGGAAGAAGTTCAAGGACCTGGTCTTCTTGGGGATTCTGAATAAATGGAAATAAAAACCTGGCTGAGAGGGATCCACCTCTTCCACAGCACACTTGTGAAGAAGATCTCGAATTGCCATGGAAAGGCACTGTCTGTGAATGTGATCCCGGAGGGGGGGGGGGATATGGGATGAGTGGAACTGAAATGAAGAATGAACCCTTTAAAAAAGAACCCACACCCAAGGGTCTGTGGTAAAGGTCGCCCACACAGTGGCAAAGTGCAAAAGCCTGGCCCCCACCAGACCTTTACCTACCTAATAATCACTAGGACCCACAGGGGTGCTCAGTTGTTGAAAAAAAAAATGACAATTAACCTCAGAGAGCTATGTAGTAGAAACTGGTAAAGAAGAGGGACAAGACATGAGAACAGGTTCAGGAGGAGGTCAAGACAAATGGGATATTCAAGAAGGAAAGGGAAGTGTTCAAATAAGCAGACTTGACTCTGGACTCTAAAGAGTCAAGAAGACCTCAAAAGACATCTTGGCTTAAAAAAGAAGCCATACATAAGTCCTGTAAGGAGGTTGGGGGTAAAGGGACATGGGACAAAAGGGCATTCCAACCCAAAAGTTCCCAACAGTAGAGGAGCAATGTTTGGAGGGAATGGGTGGAAGAGGATAATCGTGCAAGAGTGGAAAAAAAGGATGTTGAATTATTGGAAAGTGATCAAAAGAGGGCTGCTACAATGATACCTGTGATTGAAAGGCTATCATAAGATGATAAATTAAGATCTCTGAGATTGTTAAGGGAACTGATAGTGTTGATGCATCATCTTTGTTCTATATTTAATGATTAGAATGGTAAGATGAGGGGACATAAGTATACGTTTTAGCAGGGAAGGAATCATTTTAAACTAAGACAGCTATAATTTTGCAATAGTGTGGTTGGTCTTTCGAATGGGTTGCCTTCAGATCTCGTGCATAGGGTTATAAATTTAAGGGAGTTTAAGCGAAAGCTTGATAAATATTTAAATTATAAGAGTTTTTTGGTTTTAAATTTAGTGGATAGGATGACCCAGATTGATCAAAAAGTCCCTTACTGTCCTTTAATATTATTTTTTTGTAAATTGCACCTTCATACAAAATTATTCAAACTGTGGAAAATCAGAAATTAATACAAATCCTTTTTAATTTTAGCCAAATTAAATGTTTTGCTATATCTGGTTCAATAAGGTAAAAAAGTTTTCAACTTTAGATTATCTCTTGATAATTACTTTTAAGAAACACAATTTTAAGTCACAGAAAAAATACTTTTTTGGCAAATTAACTGCTCAAAGTTACAGTATTTTTACTATTTATTTTCATGCATGATAGTCATAAGAAGAAAGAATATGCTAAGAAAGATAAAGCACATTAGAGTAACATATTTAACATAAG